TCAGAGCATATAATCTGGTTTGATCCTTTCTTGGAGCCGATCCAAAGAGCTTCAGTTTTTTCACAATTTAATTACTCGCAAGCCCGAAACCTCACCGAATTTTTCCAATATAGCAAAGGAGCGCTCAAGCGATTTTGGAGTGCCATCTAAAATCAGAGTGGTGTCATCTGCATATTGACTGAGCTTACATTCTGTGCTGCCCATCCTTACAGATGGTGGGGGCTAACACCTCTGCGCACAAGATAAAAATGTAAGGCGATAGCGGACACCCCTACCTTATTATCCACTTACCTTAGTAAAGCGGAAAGTGCAATTTCTCCCCTTCATAAAGGACGAGAAATGGCGATCTGCTGTAGACAAATTAGATGCAAGTTCAGCTGGAACATTGCAGAAGTACTTCTTGGTAGCACTTGATATTGAAGGTGATATTTAAGCTTGAGATTTTTATCTTTAACTTGTCAATTATATTTAATGGAAGATGGCCGCTTTTTGTTTATTATTAGTTTAACGTTATCCCACATTGTCTTGTTTGTGAAGTCCTTAAGTACGCTATCGTAGTATTAAGTACGGTATCACTTAGTGATCGTAACGATCTTGTTACGGTAGATTTTGTATCGATTGTAATAATAGGCCTCAATCAAGCAATAACGCAGTGCATTCTGCCAGGCCAGTGCCAGGCCCCTCACCGGCTTGCTTCACTCGCTGACTCGCTTTACTTGCTTTACTCATCGACTTTTCTTCCGCTGCAACGCATAAGAGCTTGCTCGCAGGCTATGTTAAATTTAAGCTTGGTTTTCATATGTTAGGAAAATCCCAGACGAATGGGGATTGTACTTTTTGCCGACCATCCCAGATTTTGCCGATACATCGGATATTCGCCAGAGGTCTGTCCCAGATTTTCCTGATTTCACTCGTGTTTTCGAGAGACGCCATGTTTATTTGTGATAGGGGGAGCTGGAGCTGGAGCCCAGCAATTTAGGGGATTGGTAATGAGCGAAATCCATCGCCGACGGAAGCCGACGGAAGCCGACGGACGCCGACGTCCCCGACGAGAAAAATTTGAGTTTTCATTTGTCGGGAATGATCGCCGACCATCGCAGAAATCTGGGGCGCGTCAGGAAATAGAAACGCTCCTGATTCTCCAGATTTGTCC